TGGTGACAGGATGGAGCCTGGGCTGGGGGGTTGCTCCCAGGGGAGCGGAGGGGCATCGCCCCGGGGCTCCCCCCAGCACCAGGAAACACACACCCCGGCGGAAGCGGCCTGACCGCAGGGTGACATCTCGGAGCACAAGCATTCCCCAGGCTGGGCGGGCGCAGGCGGGTGACGACTTCCCCTGTGGAAACCCCACTCGCCCTGCCCGAGGACGGCTGTCGGGAGCCACTGCTTCTTCTCAGAAGCAGCCCCAGGGCCCCGTCCCCTCTCTGCCAGCGCTGGAGCCCTCCCAGGGTCTCGGAGGAGGCACGGGCAAAGCGTGCTCCTTCGTCTGCCAGAAAAAAGACACTCCTAGCAGGCTCTCCCCTGCCCCTTTCAAGTCTGCTGGGGAAGCATGAGCTGCTCATGGCTCACGCTGCCCAGCTGTGTGATAAAGACGGGTCGCAAAGAAAGTTCTGAGACTAGACAGGGTTTGGTTTTTTTCCTCCTGCTGCCAAATTTTGAAGTTAGGTGAAGGCGATGCTGACCAGCAGCATGCACAGGGCTTCTTATTCAACATGCAGCTGCCAACCCGGGCTGCCACAATTTAGGACAGCCCGTGCCAGCATGAGGGCCCCCGGCACCCCGCCAGCCTCCAACAGAGCCCGGTGGCAGGAGGGAGAAGACCCAAGGGGAAGGCCACCCGCCGCAGCCGTGACACACACCTGGTCGTAAGCGGGTTTGTGGTTGGCACTCTGCTTCTCACAGTGGCTGGCGAGGTTTCTCTCTGCCTCGGTCTTCTCTGGGGAAATGAGTTTTCCATCCACGCAGCACTCAGGATATTGCGAGTTAAAAGTTTCGTATCCCCCTAGGGAAGGGGAAAAAAACAAAACAAAACAAAAACCAGAAACATGAATGTTTGCATTTCCAAAATATCCCCCTAGGGAAGGGAAAAAAAAACAAAAAAAAAAAAACCAGAAACATGAATGTTTGCATTTCCAAAAACTGGTTTAATTAAAGTCGAGCAGAAATGAAGCTCCGGCACTTGCAGTGCAGTGGGATAGTGCAGGGCGACGGGCCCGGGGGGGTTAATGAGGGAGAGCACTCCCCTGGGGAAGCAGGTTTGTTTCAAAGGCTTCAGGCACCTGAAGAAAAAAACCTCTGATACCGGCTGGCAATTATTAACTTGCCAAAAGCCGGTGAATCCAGATTAAAACTGTTAGCGAATGTAATTCTGTTGAATCTAGCAACCATTAACTCCAGTACAGCAGGGACTAAACTCCCTCCCCCAGGTTTTATATATGAGCACTATTCCCAGCGTTTGAGACAGAGATTTCCGCACTCAGTAGTCATCCTCTCTAAATCTGTTACTACTATATATGCTGTGACAACATAAGAAATGTTTTATTTGCATTTTTGAATGGACATAAGCACAAGAGGGGGATGCTTGCAACTGTGTCATTAATCACCACAATGCAGAAGACAGCGAGGTAATGAAGACAGTCCCACTGAAACCAATCTATTAAATAACAGCTATAAAACTTAATGAAATCCTGTGACAGCATTTGACAACTGAATAGCCCCTCATGAGCTATTCTGCATGGTTAAGTACTGCATTCGTTTCATTCAGCGCACTACTAATGAAAAGGAATTAATCCTATTATTACATTGTTACTCAAAGTTTGTCGTCAGCTAAATCGTTGCCTGTTTCCAGGCTGGGAATATGCTGCACGGAAGCACACGGTCTCCAAAATGAATGCAAATAAGTCAGGTAGCGGAGCAGCCTGGAGATGTTAGTGGTCTGCCACATGTCTGCTACCTGGGCTTCTTCTGAACAAAAACGAACGGCAAAAGCTCCCACACAGCTAGAGTCAATAATCCTTTGGAGTGTGGCCCTCGAGTAAAGGAGGCTTGGAAAGCAAACCCTCCGATGCGATTCATTCACCTGCAACTGTTTCGCCCTGGTAGGCGGTGTCGGTGCGGGTGCCCAGCTGCAAGGATGGGGTTTGAAACAAAGGAAGCACTGAAGATCTGAGCGGCCGCAGGGCCCCCGCCGCCCTCGCTGCCAGGGCTGCCCGGTACTGCTCCCTCTGACATTTCAGCCCCGTAACGCCGGTGTCTCATTTGTTTGCAATGTTTGAGCAGATGTGTGCTCAAATTCATGACGTGCTACTGTCGCCCACTCAGTCCTGCCACGGGGCCCTCGTGTTGCAAGTGGCCAGTGTGATCCAAAGCCCACTGAGCATGATGAAAGTCTGTTTTCCATGACAGAGGGCAGGCGGGTGACTTTGCAGTCAACTGGCACTCGGCACCCGCACCTTTCTTCCCACTGCCCCACCACATTAAGCCAGCTCGCCCCAGAGGCTCACAGCACGAGGCGGCAGGTCAAGCAGCCAAGTGGCCGTGGAGACCGTAAGGGGGGGTGGGTGATAAAATGATATCCACAACAACCGGGTTGATAAAATGATATCCCTAACAACTGGCAGTATGAAAAGCCAACAAACACAAGCAGGTCTCCAGACTCCTCTGCTCTTCCCATCTCCAACTGCCCTTCATGGGGCAGACTTTTAAATCCTTTTGTTTTGCATAGCTGACCTCATCTCCCCCCTGCCCCCCCAACCACTGCCATCACACAGGAAAAATATGTCCAATTTATAGAAACAGCCATTACCCCTATTTACACCCTGCGTTGTTGTTTCTACTCTTGAATGAACACAGAAATCTGCCTGAGCCAAATCAGCGTGTGTGTTCGAACAGACACGCATGTCTCATGTCTCTGGGGCAGCTAACGCATGCAGCTGGTGAATGGTTAATTACAAGCCTTGGGGATCAGGATATTTGCAGGCCATTCTTGCAGTGAGTCATCTTCTCATCCCGTCCTCCAGCAATCTCCTCTCTTCCCCCTCCCCACTCAACCTAGCTTCCCTGAGGTCATTTCTGCAAATACTAGATTGCTCATCACAGAGAGCTGGGCTGTGCTTCGGGTTTAATCAATAAATAATAGAATCCTTGTCAGCACCAAGGGTGGTTCCATTATTTTATCTTTCTGCACGCTCCTCTTCCCCCGCTACACAACTGCTCTTGCCTTGCTGGGGCTGAGCTCACCCAGAGTGAAACTGCACCTACACAGATGAAAGATATGACACACTCAACCCCTAGAAGCCAGAAAGCGAGGGAAGGAATGGGACTGGCACATAACTTGGCATGTGACTGCTCTGCGCTAGCTGCCCTGCCTGAGGCCAGATCTTCAGGATGATGGGTGACCTGCTCATATCTCATCACGGCCCGCTTCTAAGATGAGACCATCTTAGCCCTTAAGTAGCCAACATCTCCTCCCAGCTCCCCCCCACACCTAGGGAATCCAAGGGGGGAAACTCAAGGAGATTTTTTTTTTTTTATGGTGATTTTACAGCCCACTATTTGCAAGGTTGGTGTTACAGACCCCCAAAGGACCCTTTGTTCAGGTCAGTGCCCAGTGCTTCGGGTTGATTTATATCCCTGCTGTCCCAGAGATCTTCCCCCAGACCACAGCAGCTTCCTGGGGGTCCGTGTCCCTGGTGAATCAGCAGCACTGCCCACTGAGTCACTGGCTCCTCGGGCCACACCGGATCTGAAATGGAGCTGTGGGCTTCACGGGCCTGATCCTGCGACCCAAAGCACTTCCAGCAAAGGGGAACAGCAGCAGGAAAAGGACAAAGTTTTCTCATCCACTAAGGGGAATCTTTTTAGCCTCAAATCGACAAGCTTTCAAGACAAGACACTCTACAGTACACAAAAGGTACAAAGCAAAGCCTACATCCAAACCCCACCCCAGATAAACTGCCCACAGCCACAGTCACCACTTCAAAGCATGGGGCTGGTACGGGAGGAGGGAAGGGCGATCTTGTGGCTAAACGTTCAGGCTGAGAGTCAGCAGAGCTTACCTCAGCCCCCGCTTTGCCACAGGCTTCCCGGCCTGACCCTGGAGATGTTTTTTCATCCCTCCTTTAATTGGGGTCTCCAAGGATTTGCCCGGCCCAGCATAGTGCAAGTATCCTTGCCCTGCGGCAGTGGAATTGGTGCTTTGGGGGCAACTGCCAGCCCCCAGGGCAGGCTGACGGGCCCGGGCAGAGCGGTGGCAAACAGCCCTGGGAGCCCCCCTGCCCCCTGGTACCGGGCAATACCCAGGCTGGAGGTGCCTCTGCCCCGGCAGGGATGCCCTCCGGGCACTGTTCGTTATGGGAGGCGCAAACTGGTCACATCAGGACAAAAACCGGTGTGATAAAAGGCTTAATAAAAGTGAATCAGCTCTGGCCGGCAAAGGGCACGGGAGCAGAGTTTATTCGAGAAACATCGCCTGGTTTTCTCCTCCATCTATGACCTCCCCCTGGCCTCGAGATACGGCAAAAGGGGGGCTGTCTGGGAGCTGCGACCGCGGCGCG